TTCGGAAAGAACGACGGCATCAGGGAGTCCATTCCATGCCCCGATGACCCTGTGAGTGAAGGCGTTCCGTCGGACGTCCGAATGAGCCCGCTTCCTTTGCAGTTTGAACGGATGACCACGCAGACGGTCAGTCCGGGCCAATTCAAAGAATTCATCAAAGTCTAGGGCACACTCATGGCTTCTGACAATCCTGTAGGTTTGAATGAGATCGCCGCGCAGTTGCCTGTAATTTAGAGGAAACAGATTTAGTTCGGTCAGCCTGGTTTCGTAAGGCAAATGATGAAGGTTCTTGACCATCTTCGTAGCCATGATCTGTACTCTTTCCAGTCGTTGATAATCTTTCTTCAACCACGGTCGCCAGGCCTGGACTGCATACTCTAAGTGAGACCGGACGAATGCCCCATAGGTTTTTCCGAACAGCTGTTTATCGATCTGTACAAATCCTCGCCTCAGCGCAAATAACACCCTTATCGCACTTTTGGCTGCCCTTTGACGCTGTGATGATGGTTTCAGCGAGGAGGTCATTAGGACGCCCAGGTCTTTCTGTTCCACAACATTTGAAAGGGGCTGACCACCAAGGACGTATTGAAAGGAATCGTCCTCCTTACTGGTCCGTCTGGTGCGGAGTCTCAGGACCACACATTTGTCCACATTAAAATTAAGGAGCCAGCGAGCTGACCGACTGTTCAGGCGGTTGAGACTGTCTTGAAGCGCGTACCTGTCTGCATCAGATCTGATGGGTCTCCACAGCTTAACATCGTCAGCAAACATGATGGCGCTGCATCCCAGGTCGTCGACGCAGTCGTTAATGTAAACCAGGAATAGCAACGGCCCTAAGACGGAGCCCTGGGGTACACCACTTAGAACGGGGGTAGGAGTTGACCTTGAGGCCTCAATGCACACGGTTTGCGATCTCCCGGTAAGAAAATGCTTGATGAAGAACAGCGCTGATATCGCCGAGCTTGTGAACTTTGAGCACTGCAGAGCTGGTTTGGGGCAGTTGGGGTCCATACGTGAGCCCTTTTGCGCCTCTATTCCCTAGAGCGGCGTGTCATTTGAATTGTATGTTCTGATGTCCGAAGGCTTATGTTTGCCATTCCGAAGGGAGTGACACACCTACATTTAGGGATAGAAGCCACTTCCTCGGCCAATGCTCGAGTCGGCATAGGTCTGCTTGCAATCTCTTAAAAATATGGAGATGGGGATACAGGTAGATAGCTGTTCCCAGAAGCAAGACCTTCGATTTAGTATATCGGAGAAAACAATGTAACCTTCCACTCAGGTGGCAGTCTGCCTGCAGCAAGGGAAGATTGGAAGAGCAGACAAAATTTCCGTCAGTTCTACCGCTAACGCCTTCAAAAACTTTGTGGACATTTCATAGGGACCTGGAGATCTCAATGTTTTCAGCCTCAGTAGTTTTTGCAGAACAATGCCCTTCGTTAGGACCACTGAATCGATAGCCGGAACCTCGTACACACTATATTTACCAGCGGTCAAGTCGGCTTCTCTCATGACAAATGCCGAGTCTACTCGTCATTCTTGCAAAGTTCAGTACCGTCGTCTGCCTTTAACAAGGGAATGGGATACCTATCTCGGGTGCATTGTATTATGTAGTTGTAGGCGAGCTCTAGGTTTCCTCTTGCATGCTTCATTAGGTCACTCTCAAAGTTTTGGCGGGTCTTAAAGTGGGGCCTCTGTAGCGCCCCACTATCTGTATAGGACTGTTTGAATGAAGACACTTTTTGACGCGTGGATCTAGGGTAGTGGCGGCGTAACTACGCTTCGGTGAAAAGGGCCGGTTTCCTTCCCCCTCACTACCGTCGACCCCCTTTCCGCAACTCTCGTTATTGTTAGTATATCTCTCTTTACTTTGGCACCTTCCTCGGCCCTCCCCTGCAGTTGCCCACAGCTCTGCTTTCCCCACCGGTTGTTTGGCTGGCATGTCAGCGTCGCCTTACCACGCAGACAGGTTACTCCCTTGTTGTAACTCAGCTCGTTTGTACAATTAACTACTGTTGTATGTATTCCCAGTTTCCATTTCTTCCCATTATACCTTAATACCCACCTAACGTTTCCTCTTACCTTTCGCATGGTTGAGTACTGAGGTATGTTAACGGTTCTATTCAGATCGGTCTTAGTCAGGATGCCTTCCCGGAGCTTCGCTACGTCGGTGTGCGCTACCCTTGACGTCCTCGGCCGCTACACCTCTTACCCTAGTTCACTGCGCTGTGTATTTATTCCTAAACTCGATGTTCTTCGCCCTGAGACAAGTCTACAAAAGCTCTTGCATGTGGTTTACTTCCCTCTTCAGTGTAGTCGTTAGCCATTGGGGTCTGCCGGTGACCCTTTTCAAGGCAGTGTCTGGTAGTAAGCGCCAGTAATAAGGCTTTAAATTCCAGTCAGTCCTCGAAAGCACACTCGACGAATGCGGAGGTCCAGTCTGTGCGACGCACATCAACTCTCATTTGGTCGAAATCTCCATGCCATATGTTACGCCTGACCACGACGCCTCGAGGGTACAAATAAGAGTGAATACTTCCACTGTAGAACTACGTGGTCACTTCTGGAGAAAGCTGGTAGAGTTCACAACATGGACACTGCCAGACGGTTCTGTCAGTACAGTCTGAAAAGTTGGCTTGTTGTCCTCTACACAGTCTGGTTGGAGATAAGACGTGTTGAGATGATTTTTGTATTGCTTTTAGGAGGCAATGACCAAAGTTTGATTCTAAGTCATGTGCAGAAGTAAGATTCCAGTAGATCTCCGGAGCATTAAATCGTCCATACTCAGGATATTGGATCGAGTAACGGTTTCTAATCCATCTACTAGGCAACAGTCTGACTGCGGGTCCTTTCTCGGCGGTCGGTTGACCATCAGGAGGACGAGAGCTTGTGACCTCGGGGTTCTGGTGGACCAAATTGTCTGTCAAGCGGACTTCTCCGTGCCTTGACACGAGCAGACCATGTTTAATATAATTGGACTCTCTTCCACCTAGATGTTCCCCTCAATGTTGCCCGAACTGAAAATCGAGGAGAGCGATTTCGCGATAGCCTACACTCGCGAATAGCTACGTTTCCGCTCATCTAGTTTCGATTGCAAACTATGGGCATTTGTGTACGTAAACTCTTTGTGTGTTGTAAGCTATTTATGCCGCCACCTTTACGCCTGCCTCAGCTGCAGTGATGTACGCAGAGGACGTGTCCATATGAACCGGGACAGCCGGTTGACTGGTTTGCTGTACGCTTTGTTCTCTATTCACCAATCTACGCCTGAGCTCTTGAACCAACGACTGACGTCTTAACCGCTCGGGCGGCGCGTAATCCGACCGAGAAACTCCTCAAGGGGGATGTTCTAGTTGGAAGCGCCTTAAGACAGTAAGATTAACCTGTTCTTCGCAATCCAGGGTTCGAAAAGTATGTAGCCCCGTCAGTCGTCAAGTTAAAATTTTACTGAACAAAATTGGAACCGATCAGAACACCGTGACTAAGCACGCCCTACTTCTTCACGCACCGGCACCGGCCTCAAAAAGCGTGGAAGCAACTGGTCCAAGCGACTAGATAGCTTAATCAGAACGTGAGAATGGCAACGAATGGTCAACTAACTTGCCATGGACATTCGGGCAGTTCAGTGCTGCATTTCTGTTGATTCTCCGGCCCAATATTTAGCTGGCAGGGCGTTTACTTGGAATGAAACGTGCTTTGCTGATTTTCCTTTCATCTTGTGTAACGCCACTGCGAGGGTTTCTGCTTACTCCCGGGCCCTCCACCGTTCAGTGGAATGTCAATAACTTTTTGCTGGTTGCCTGATGGAGACTAGATGGACGAGTGAGAATTACTCTGCCAGGTCTCCCAAGCCATCTGACTCAAAGCGTCCATAACTGAGCATGGCGAACTAATAACTAACATAAACGGAATCAGGCGGTGCCGACTCTATCAGCAACACGCTGCTCAGTTACTAAGAGAACAAGCCGATTTTTATCCTTTCCAATTCAAGCTTCGTATTGATGAATATGCTCAACCCTGTCAGTGACGCTGCCCTCCCCACAATATCCCAATCTCAATCTTAACCGATGATAGGGAGAACCCACTTCAATCATAGCTCGGATACTTGCCAGTATAATTCTCCTAAATCGAATGGCAGAGGGAGACTCGCATTTTCGAACCAAAAACCATGTCTGAATTTACTGCATTCAAGCTGAATGACATGTCTCCCACATTTCTATATTTTTTTATCAAAAACAGAGAAATAAAACTTTGTGGCACATATACACCCAGGTGGGGTGGTATTTCCGAAATCCGAATGGCAACGGCGGCCTTCAGAAATGCATAACGGTTTCCCACTGCCTATGAGTAATAAGGAATTTAGCGTAAACGGGTAAACGGAAAAAAACGTGCTCCGTTCGTTTCGACCTAAATCACACCTTGGCATTCCAACTCCGTCGCTAAGACAAGGCAAAACTTCGACATTCCTCTTCAGGGCGTTAGTCCCGACGGGCTACGTCGAAAATCCGGGTTGTGGGCAGCCTCAGAGAATATTTTAAAAGGCGCAACAATAAACGACAATTTGTGTGGTTCTTAAAAGTACAATAATCAGCCGTGTTGTAACCACTTGGGCTTATGACTTTCGCAACGGGTCATTCTAGGGGCGAGTATCAGAACATGACACTCAATAAGACAGCAAGAGGCAGCACGTTCGTTCAGTACTGGAAGAAAAAATGAAAGACATGGGAAATAAGGCTCAGGCAAAAGCTGTACAAAAGGATAGCTTACTAGGGCGAAGAAAGTGGAGAATAGCGCGCGTGCCTTAACTTCCTTCGGGTAGTTGACTGTCATATATTGCAGCTCGGTCTTTGTAAGCAGGTTAAGAACGGATTACGAAGACAACGACAAAGTCTGAACCCAAGATAGGAAGTAAATGAACGTCGACCGTTTGAAGTAACACAGGACAGTCACTAAGTCATATAAACGATCGCTTTCAGGATGCGATATGAAGGTCTGTTTGTTCATGTCGACCGCTGCAGGGGGACAATCTGGAAAACAAAGTCGTTGCTTCGTATCCTTGGCTCAAAGGCAGCTTCGAATTCCCGCCGGTAAGCGTTGAACTGCATTATATCTCGCGGTTCCGAAACCCAGAAGGCGTGAAACTCGCTGAATAGGCATACTGTAGAAGAGGAAACAGGCAAATAGGATTTGCAGCTGGCAGTCTTTTTTAACCAAATGAAAGAGGTTTAGAGGGCATGTTAAATTTCTAGAAGTGTACACACTTTGGAAGGGTATTCCAATAGGACCAGGAAGGTACAAACACCAGTTTAAAACCGGCACTCTCTGTGATACAGCAAATTCTTCCTCACAACTCCGCCCGGTGAAGAAGGCATTACAATAGAATATTCGGTGAAATTTTACACGGTTAAAAAGGTGTCTGCGATGGTATGCAGCAAAAAGGCCACAGTCAAGGTCGAGAAAAGTTAACTTGCGGTAATGCAGCTATGTCGAAGCTTGCCTAGTTATCAATAGCAGAGGAAAGATTCTCAAATTAAATACGACAACATCGCATAATACAGTCTACGCTGTCCAGAAAGACGCGGAGACAATGTGAGGCCATAGATGAGGAACTCACCATAGGCGAAGTGAAAGTCATCCAGGGTTGGAGCAGTCCTAACATAATTGAAGAAATGGCATTTAAGTTCACCATCCCGCAGCCATTTCCTCAGGAGGTCGGTTAAACTGATACCGACTATGGCAAAAGGATAGCTAGAAGAAAAAATAGAAACGAAGCTAAAAGGAGAATAGAAAAAAGGGGGATTATAAGAGGCGACTAGAAGCTCGTCCTCGCGGAGCGTCATGCGCGCAGAGGTACAGTCTGCGACATCAGCGAGACCGGCTAGATAAGGCATGATCACAGTTTTTCCAAGTATATATAAGTACCGTAGGTTGATGTTGTGGATAGGACTGTTGTGGTACCTTTCGCACATAATAAATTGAAAATGTGAAGGCCCATGTATTCCCCCTAGACTGTGTTGAGTGTTGGACGGTCCATGTGACAGAAAAATACATTCTACGTAAAACATTAGAAATGTTGATTGCGGATATCGTAGCCGATCGCAGAAACGGCGCAAAACGTCCTTGTTCAGCAGCCTACCGCTTCAGAGTCATACGCCTCCAATGAATACGCTCCCGGACGCGGCAGTCTTGAAGGCTGACCAATTTCCTGGACTGAAACACAAGCGTGAACATGCTCCAGGAGTTACAGCCGCTCATAGCTCACGAGCAACGGTGCATGTGGACAGAGACGTAAGGCTCTTTAACTCGCTCTCGTAAAGCTATAAAAGCGGCCGATCACCAAGATGCACTCTCTCCCCCTTACTTGGGCACGATTCAACACCAACCTTGACCTCGCCAGCAGTCGCTGATATCCGAGACGGCAGCTCAGGGCTGTGTACAGAATAGATTCCTTAGCCTGGTGTCCTTCGTCTTCTACTAACCGGGACTTGGCTTGGCTATTACGTTGGCCGAGGCAAACGCAATGCCTTTGCCGCTGAAATGTCGTCAAATGACGGCTGAAAATGGAGAGAAGCGACCAATTATCTGCCTTTTGTCTCCTAGGCGGAAGGCTGTCCCAGACAACCCTAGTTCGAGGGACTGCGTTTCCTAAAGTAGTCAATGGCTCGGCAGTCGCAGGCAATTATGACCACTCTGGCCTCCCGATGTGGACGTAAGGTGATTATAGTAGTAGGAAAAAACAGTAAGTCTTTATTTAGAGAATTCTCGAAGGCAGACGGAAGAACGTACCTGGAAGTGGAAAAAACCGAAGCCGAAAGGATACCTCTGGCTAAGGCGGTATGCGATTCCGCAAAGTATCTAAAAACATGAAGGTAGTGGATTATGAAGCGTACCTTATGATTGATAAACATATCAGTTGATAAAGCTTGAATAAAATTAAGGTGATAAAAGCCATACCATCGCTAGTAGGAAAATAGGGGGCGTAATTTAAAGAACAGCGTGTATGCTACTGATGTGACTCATTACAAAACTGTATATCGGGCCAAACTTAAATCTCAAGACAACTTGATGCAATATCCCGATCGCGGTTGTAAATGGGGCCTTACAATGGCGATGGATGTCACAGACGAACCTCGTCACTGAGGGAAGATTTTCACGATTTTTTAAGCAAACAATAAGTTAATGTTTTGTGAATAATGCCCAATAGTGCCTTATATCGAAGTCTCGTTGCATCAAGAGTTATTGCTGCAAATTCGTCTGAGTTATAAACACAGGAAAGCAGGATTCGAGAACCCACATAATCGAAATGAGGGAAACAGTGTAGACAATTAAGTATCTGACTTACCGGAGGTTAAGAGCGCCGAGAAGACCCATTCCACGAAAGTCAGTGGCCGGGCAATTTCCCTGAAATCCAATATCAGTCCATCGTTTGCTCACAAGCTGGAAAGTCTCACTTGGAAAAAAGTATCTCCACAACTGGATATTTAGACAGAAAAGAGTGAACAAACCTCCCGCAAAATATCCAAATGCTGCTCATCCGATGTATTAAACGCAGTTGAACGCAATCGCTCGCATTCTTCATGAAGACTTTGATACCCACGAATCTGCGTGACGGCCTGAGTAAAGGCACTTGCAAAACTATAAAAAAGTACATAGCTGGCAGAATAATTTACCTAGGGGCAGCTTTAATTCCTTTTATTCGCACAGCATATTCAACGTAATTATCCAGAGACAGATCCCTGAAACCAGTCCTGAGGATAGCATCTTTTGAATTGGAGAGTGATCTTTCTGAAGGGGGTAAATCGTAAAGAGGCATCTAACCGAGTGCGAGAGTTCGTCCACACCCTTTGCAATTTTCGTCAATTATCCGCTGGAGCTCACACTTTCCGGAAAGGATCCTCCACACTAATTTGCGTAGGCCACGGAAGGGTAGGAAAAATGCGAGGGCGCAACCGCAGGCTATGAGTGCATAAAACCAATAGCTACACATCGTAGTAGCTTGCGTAGGAGTAGGGAGTAGCCGAAAGCCACCGATCGTGAAAAAGTGAAGTTTGAGAGGCCTGGATTGTCGTTCAGTCACCACAGGCGGAACAAAGGATAGAAGTGCTGGAATCTAGTTAAAAATGAATAGCAGTGGTGCGAGCAGATAGACGACGGGAATAAGCTAGCATCCTTAAAAGACAACAGATTCTGAAGGTAACAAAGCATAACTGAGGTTTGCGATGCGCGAAAAAGACAAAGCAACATAAAATTTGACGAAAGAAACGGCAGTAATGATTAACTTTTGTTAAACAGATGCACAACAGGCCCGCAATGAAGTCAAAATTTATCGAGTGGGTGCACTGGCACGCTCGAGAAACTTCTGTGGTGGCTCAACAACAAAAACTTTTACTATTTTGCTGGAAAAGCGCTGACCAGGGTCATTTTTAAATAGTGGTACTCCTTGAGAACACTGTTTGCTGTTATAGAATATGGTATACGAGGGGGGAGGATGTACCTTGCTGGATTAGCAGGCGCCCGAGTGGATTGTTATACTTGGCGGATATTCCGCACTGCATTGCCGTCAGACATTCAGTTGTTGTGTCAGGAAGCTACACCCTGAATAACGATCACGCCCTTATAAGAGCTTCAATTGAAGGTCAAACAAGTGCGTTTGCGCGTCTAATTTGTGGAGAAAGGGAACATTCGTCGTGTTGCAGCACACGTATGTGCATTCCAGTTCGACCGTCGAGAACAACGACATTCACTGCGTGTCACGCAGCACGGCAGGAGTTTGTGCGTGAATAAGTTTATAGAGATAGTAAACTTGCGCAGCATCTCCCGCACTCTACTTCATCACCCTTCTGGGTCTGATGGCAAGACAGGATCAGGACGACCGGAGGCAGGATCGAGCGCAGTGACTGACATGGTTAAACAGCCAGTCTACGCGAGTTGCACACGCCTGGCCGGCGCACGATGGATCGGATTTCCACAGACACAAAAGGGAGGCTCGGATCCCAACTGAGAGGAAGTGCCATATAAGCCACGTTGCAGACTAACTACAGCTTTACTGTCCGCCCTGAGAGGACCGAATTATCCTGTCAGCTGGGAGCCCTCATGGTTAGCGTGGGGTTCGGCAGCCGTCAGGAATGATTTGGCAACCAGAGGAGCTGGCCTACACAAATGCTCGTTTATGTCCTATGAGTTGTTGACCGCAGACGCATACGCAGTCTAATCGTAGCTAACAGAAAACAGATTTGCCTCTATCCCTCCCCCTCTGTACCCAGAATGAATTCGTTCTCTCTGACAGTATGGAGCGTCTGTTCCCAACTAGGTAACCCACTACTTGTGCGAAGATTGGTTCGATAGAAGGTGGACATTATCACTCTAAGAGAGGCTCGCTCCTCCAAAGGACAACTGAAGGAAGGAGGGGAGAGTGGGGACACCTTCGAGAGCAACGATATAGAGCACAACAGGGGGCTAGAGTTACCGTCGTAATCACAAACAGGATTGCCAGAAAGCTTCTTTCACTATCGCAAAATACCAACGACCGTCTCATAAGAATGCGGTTTCCACTCCCCAAAAGGAAACTCGACATTGTTGTTTTTTTTAATTTTTTTCCGAAAATAACCGCTAACTTGGAGTAAATCAGTACAAACTAAGGTCTATAGGCACAGACCGGAATCCGATGTGAATATTTTGGTCGAAATTTATCAGCCACAGCGGGATAACCATCTAAACCGCCAATGGGTGGCTAGTAGTATGTACCGGGGTTACAGGATACCCTACTGACGTGTTCAGGACATGCGCCCAACAAGGTAAAATCTTGACGTGATTGGTAATTTCCGTAAGAATGTGCACAGCCCTTTCCTGTCTGTTACGAAAGCGGACAGAAAAGTATCCGGAAGTGCTTAGTCATCATAGGATAAGAGGCTGCGAAACCGTCTTCTATAACTGAAGAAATATGCAGAGCACCATCTGTTGATCATCAACGCCGTCACTTGTCGTAAAAAGGCCCGACAATACACTCGCTTAGGTTACCGGCTATTTTCAGACGTGCTCCTCAGGAGGGTGGACAGCCATAACAGGAAAAAAGCAATGTGCGATGCAAAGTGCTAGATCGGTCACCGAAAAGTTGTTTCAAGAGTGACACTGTGGTGCTTGTCCACAACGAGTGCAGGTTGGATTTCACCGGCAAAATGAACGTCAATATGGGACAACTACAGATTCTGGAGAACGAAGACATCGAGAACAGATAGAAGACAGGGGGACGTTATCTACCGGACTGGTACGGAAGTCCTCGAGCCTGCGGACAGATGGCATCAAGACCGATTCGGTGATTATGAAATCCAACAGTTGTTGTCCGAAAAGAACCACCTCCACAAGATTGATGCAAACAACTGCACCTCCACAACCGAGGGTACATTCTCCCGACACAAACGTCAGCCGCTGCAGAGGTCGTGTAATATTCAGAACGATCAGTTTGATTGCGGAACAGAAGAATACCAGGAATGCACCGACCCTGGTAGACCTAAGAACCTCTACGTCGCTGTTCAGTCCAGAGGCAAACGCCCAGTTGCCAGGAGTTTGGTCGCGCACCTTCGAAAGGTCCTCAATCCAAATATTCAGTCAGTGACAAAACTACCAACGGACCCCCTCGAATGGAAACAAACGACCGTGATCGGCCACTCCCGGCACAGCAGACAATCAGGGCCGCGCTGCAATAAAGCATCGCGTGTCGACTCAATGAGAGTGAAAGGCTAAAACTGCACTGGTCTCAAGCCTATGGACTGACTAACCATTGATTCAAATGTGAAGTCAAGGACAATTCGCATGGGACTTCAAGGATACCATCGTTGTCCACCCATACATGCAAATAGACAATCGACACATGCGACAGTCATCTTCAAAGTCCTCTTCTTAGTATTCCTAGCAATTGTTTCCGCATACCTGTCAATCGCCTGACTGCGCACCTGCACCTAGGGCCCCAGAGATTCGATGAAGTTTCGAAAATGGACTTAGAATAAACCATATGACTTTTGAGGAGCAAAAGTTGTCAGGAAAATAACGAGGAAGAAAGAATAACCTCTATAAATCAGTTATAGATCTTATAAATACCTCTGAGACAGTGATCAGATATGAGACCTGAAAAATCACGACAAATGTGAATGTTCGAAAGGTCGAAACAACTCCCCAACGGCGTAATAGTGCTTTACGGTTTCATGCTCTCTGCGATCCCGACAGACGTCTGTGGCGAGAAACGACCCAGAATCGATATCAACCGTCGAAAGCACAGGAGGCATCCAGGATCCCCTCTATATAAATCGTTATAAACATTTCTAACGACCAGATATGCGGTACTCGCCGGTGATTGTGCGTCGAACACCACGACTGATGCGGATGTGCGACGAAACACGGAACCTCGCGCCTCAGGATGCGCAAAATTCAGATCAAACACTAAATCGAGAAAACAACTGTCATGCATCAGCCGACACTCACCGAGGAATGTGCGTCGTCCCCAATCCCCGCCAACGACATTCACGCCAAAGACACGCACAAGTCATCCCATTTTAGAAGTGTGGTCTCAAAAAGCATAAAGGTTAATGATAAAACTCCAATTTCGATCAAGAGAGCCCGCCGGACCTTCGGCCGACCTCCATAATTCATATTAGACCGCAGGGTCACAGCCTTCAACGCCAAACTGGGGAGGTACAGGGGTGTAGTCTTGAAAATGCTCCTCTACGGCTCGCAGAATTGGTAAACTTACCAAAGCCACGTGCAAAAGCCCAACAAAGTCCCTTAAACTGTTTTCAGAAGGTATTGGAGGTAAATTGGCAGGAACGGATTGCAGACAACCACAGCCTGAAATCAACTGCAACGGCCAGCATCTTTAGGGTAATGTGGCATATTCGAATCCAATAAAACGATTAGGTGTGATGACCAGCCGACGAAGTGATTCTTCTGTGATGTCATTGTTAATGACGTTCGTCGCCAGGGGGAACAGGAAAGAAGCCCAATACAATGTGTCCAACTGCAAGCAGGCATTTCGGGCTCGATTCGGTCTTGTATAACACCCTCGAATGCATCGCAGCACTATCGTCACCGACGTCGGCATTACGCCAAAGAACACCGCAAATGTTGACCAGCCGTCAAACATTTGCCCCCCACTGTTAGCATATGTTACAGCTCGGGATTACACTGGTTGGACGCCTTTATATCTACCTTCACGCACCCGACCATGTCCTCCAGAAAACTTCGCGGCGTCACAGCTGATAAAGTCATTTAAACATCCAAACCCACGTAATCCTAGGCTACAGAAATCGACCTAAAACGAACAGATCGCGCCAAGTTGCCTACCTCTGTGGCGCCTGCAATTTAATGCGCGATCCAGTTGATAGGGACTCGATGTGGCTGCTGCAGAGCCTAAGTTCATGGACACCAATCATAACACCCAATTTCATCGCTTTGGCATCTGCCTTAAATAAACTTTTTGGACCTGTCCTGTCTGCTCAAAATCAAGTTAGACGACCCAGCAACAATTATTGCTTCCCGCCTATGTATAACGGCTAACATAACGACATCAGAAGCCGAGATTATGAGGACAGTTATCGTTACTCATGACCAGCGAATTATAAAACGCGGACAGCTGCGTTTCACAGACCTAGTGAGGAAATGTGAAGGCGGCTAATGAATAAGGAAATGTTGAACCCTCCTCAGAGTTGCGTTTGTGCCAATTCCAACTGTTGAGCTAGTCATGGCGGCGATTTTAGCTGTAAATGACTAAAAACCCGATCAAGAACGGATTCCAAATCTATTCAGAGGGGCGTCACCAATGACCTACCTGCAGGATCCACAGACTTAAGCTCAGGACAGTAGGAAATGACAATATTGCACTGTCAATACTATAAACTAATGTAATTGCATAGCAAAAGATGTTTGTACCCGACCCAACGCTTGTTTGTACTGCTTTGAAGTCTGCCGCGTGATACCCGAGACACCGTTCGGCACATAGGCTGCCCGAAAACCAGACATCTATCTAACTAAAAAACCCGTCACAGAGAAGCACATTGACTGAAGTTAGTTAGAACCCTGCAGAGGTCGAATGGGGAAAAGCAAGAAGTCTAGCATTTCAGACGACTTTTCGTTAAGCAGCTACCCGGAGAGATGCATAAATGAGTACCAGTTTATTTACGGGTCAAAGCCACGACGTCTTATCATACATCAGAGGTCCCGTAAACTACTATTTAATAAACTAAGATACGAAAAATGTATCCAGAGCAGTAAGACCTGACAAAACAAACCTAAATATCAGGGCCAATGTGTGCAACCACATAATGAGGATGATGCAACTTAAACGCAAATGGGCAAAGTGGAAATACTCATCGAATTACACGTCTTAATTGCCTCTGAAACGTTCAAGGTAACAAAAATTACGAACAAACATGAGTAGACAGTATTTTTAAGTACTCAATCAATTCCAACTTGCTTAGCCTATCATGAGGCGGGGACACGGCCTCGGTTGTCGGGAGCAAAAGATGTTTAAAAAACCTAAAAAGGACATGCCAGGAACTTAGATGGGTCTACATCTGCGACCGGCAGTCCGTAAACCGAAACGATGGCATCCCACATGCCTATGAAGTTTCACAATGGCATTGTCATACTTTTCGGACCAGGGTGCGGGTATACGGAACACAGTTAAGAGGAGCGTCCGCGTAGATTTTCTGCACACGAGTCTGAAGGTGGAAACCAAAGCATATATTGCACCACCGACCGATTTTCACCCACCAAACATCATCGCAACGATTATAATAGACATTGACAGTTGTTGGAGGAAAAAAGTACAAACAAGCGGAATCGTATCTGGCCCGAGTGGTTGCACTATGAAAGTGCACAGGCTTAAACAAATAAATTACAGTTATAGCAGCCGAAGGCGTCGAGGTTAGCACACACACGGTCGAATATACCACCTGGGGTAGCTCCCCGGTTATGGAACGCTTGACAGAGTTGCTAAACGCCACATCAGACAAGAATATAGGGATGTAGTAAGAAAAGGGGTTTCTAGTGTATGAAAGCAGTGTTACGATAACAAATGGATGGAGTAGAAAAAGTGGAAAATAACGAATACAAGAAAATAGCGGGGCGCTGTACATATGATCCATTTGGAGTGGAAGGTGGTCACGTCATATCAGTTAGACGCCAGTGGAGATTGCAGCGCTGTTGACAACTGCGGGTAAGGGCCGGGGAGTGAGCTGATGATAAAGGGAACGAGCGACGAACAGACGGCGAGATCGGGCCCACTTCCCTGGGGAAGCCATGCTAGCGGTAGAACGGGAAGGGAAGCCGGCTATCTTCGCTGGCAGACGCGTAAAGGCCACGGACGTCAAGGACAACACACACCGACGTGGCGAAGCATTGGGAGAAGATCCTGTCTGAGACCGGTTTGAATAGAGTCCTTAACATGTCATAATACTCATCCATACATAAGGGAGGAAAAAACGTTAAGTAGGCAATAAGGTACCATGGAAGGAGATGGAAACTGGGGGTGCGTATAATAGTAGTTAATTGTACAAATGGAATGAGCTACGATAAGGGAGTAACCCGTCTGGACGGTAAGGCAACACGGATGTCAGTTAAACAATCGGTAGGAAACGCGCGCCGTGGGGAACGCGGTGCTGTGGGCAACTGCAGGGGTGGGCCCAGGAAGGTGCCGACATAGGCAGAGAGCGAGATACGAGCGGTACGGTAAATTGCAAGGAGGGGGTCGGCGGTAGTGAGAGGGAAGGACACTGGCCATTTTCACCGACACACAGCTACACAAACATCATCCCTGAAAGCATTCAGGCCCGAGGGCTAGACATTTGCTAGCCCGTTTGAGTTGCGGGCTAGTGCAGGACTAGTAACCTGGTTGGCTGATGGTACTCGATTTGTGCGATGAAGGAGCGTTTCTGTTACACCTCCTTCTTGATGCTCACCAGAGCGCATTTTGCACGTAACGCCTGAGGGATCCTTTGCGCGTACGCATGCATGTAGGGGTGCACGCACTCACTTTGTCTGGAATTTTGAGGGCCTGGTGTGACCGTCTGCAGTGAAGATGGCCAGTGTTCCTTCCCTCCCTAGCACTGACTTCGCCTCTTTCGCTTCCGCAGTCCGGCCGTATCGCATTTGCCTTACCGTCTGCTCACTCCCGGCCCTTAGCCGAAGTTGCCGATAGTGCTGCATTTTCCATTGGTGTCTAACTGATGTGGAGTGACCATCTTCTACTCCAAGCGGATCATCTGTACAGTACCTCATCATTTTCTCGTACTCATGACCTTCCGTATACCTACTCGATATCTATTGCTACAAAGTACTCTACCGTGTCGTAACATGAATTCCATCTACTGGAGATCTCTTTCTTCCCTATTCGCGTGTTTGATGTAACGTTTAACACCTCTGTCAGTGATGCACAACGGAGAAGCTACCTTAGGTGGATTATTCGATCGTGTGCATTCCAACCTCAACGCCTACATCCGACATCCTAGATCTGCGCGCCAAAAGTGCTGCTGCATTCAAACAACCCCATACAGATCATGGGACGTTTCAAACGCTCGTCCGAGACTCATCCGGGATCCGCATCAAAGTGGCCTCAGTTCGTTCAAACAACCCTGTGGAACTTGTGGTGCACTGCAAGTTTTGGGTCAAGGCCTGACATGTTTTCTGTGCAATGGTGTTGCACTCGACAAAGAACACCAAAAATCATTTTAGACCGCGCCAGTTTATAGTGCACGAAAAAGAAGCAGGAACTATGTTACATGGAGAAAATGCTGATGTTACGCTATGAAAGTCCTGGACCAATCGCGGGGGGTTTTTCGTAGGGCTGTAGTGGCCTAAAACGTTGAGGGTAGCACGCACGGGGTAATGTGGAGCAATATACATAATTCATAACTAATCTGGTCTGAAGAGAGTTGTCGAAAAGGTCACCGATCTCATCCAAGCTGACAGTAAAAAAAGTCAAGGGGGTCGCAATACGTATACTAAGAGTAGTGGGAAAGGTACATAGGGAAATCTTAAACGATACAAGGTGGAATGTGAAATACAGCAGAAATGAGGATCCGTTTGGATGAAGAGGTTATAACAACATACCACCTAGACATCCTGTAGGGAATGCAGCACTGTTGGCAACTGTGGGGTAGGGCCGTTTAAAGTAGCGAAGTAGAGCGGTAGATACGGTACGGTAACGACGTTAAAGGCGGAAGAGTGGTTGCGGGGACGAGAGGAAAGATCACCGGTTATTTTCGCCTGCACACGGTCACACCATCTTGTAGCAGCCGAGAACGTCAAGGGAGACGAACGCCAAAGAAACGAAGCGCTGGGAAGAGCTCCTGGTTTAGATCGATCGGAACGGAGCCGTTAGCATCTCGGAGTACTCATCCACGCGCAAAGGCTTACGCCTTTGAACTCCTTATTTGTATATTTAAAAAATCGATAAATAAGCATGATGTGAAGAAATTACAGCATTAAGTGAATGCAGACATTTATTCACATATGTCACTGGTCTCATGGCTAAAACGTCACATAGTCCGCCGGTTACTGCAGCATATGTCTGCCAAGCCAACATTTAAATGTCGCCACAGATTGAGACATGACAACCGTCTCGGGCAGGTTATTCCACGGTTCCACGACACTGTTGGAGAAGAAATATTTTCTCGCATTCAATCTACCCCCGGGCACACGTAGCTTGAAGGGATGTCCCCAGAGGTTAGTTGTTGTGGCGAGGCGGGTTGGAAAAAGTCATCGAACAGAAGGGCGCAGTCCCAGCTACGCACGATACGGAAAGTTAGTATCAGGTCTCCGCGCAACTGCCTATAACTCAGAGGATAGAGATTCAGGTTAGTTAAGCTGATCTCGCATGACAGTGCACTTTGACCTCTTACTAATTTTTTGGCTCGCCTCTGCACCCTTTCCAGCGGATTGTAATCCTGATCCATGGTCTCCAGGCCTGAATTGCATATTCGAGGTGTGGCCTTACAAACGTGCCAAAGACTTTGGAGAAGCAGTCTTCATCGAAAACTGCGAATGCCCGCTTAACGGCATAGAGCATTGAACTTTCGGCCTTGGCCGCCTTACAACATTGCGTAGAAGGCTTTAGGCTGTCCGCAACCCAGACTCCGATATCTTTCTGCGTTTCCGCTTCTCGAATTGGTATTCCGTTCAGATGGTATTGCCGCGTACTAAGGGGTCTGATTTCCAGGGCGCAGTATCGAACATTTGTTCAAATTGAAGGACAAGAGTCATCTGCGGGACAACTCGTCCAATGGACAAAGATTTTCTTGGAAGTTGGTCTCATCAGCAGCATTGTGGATAACTTCCCAGATTTTTGTTTCATCCGCAAACATGGCACTATCACCGTCCAACCCGTCTTCACAAACATTGATGAACAAGAGAAATAGAGTTGGTCCGAGCACCGAGCCATGTGGGACTCCACTCTCTATGAATATGCGCCGTCATTGCTATATTTCTATGCAGACAATTTGGGAACGGTCGACGAGGAAGTTTCCGATCCATTTGAGAAGTTTGCCGCCGATGCCCATTATTCTCAACTTGTGCAGGAGACGCTGGTGCGGAACACAGTCGAACGCCTTCCGGAAATCAATATAGGCCACGTGCATATTGGGTTTTGCGTCCAGTGCTCTTGTTCAACTTTGCATTGTATACAGCAAGTTCTTTACACATGATCTTCCCCTACGGAAACCATATTGTGCATTGGACAAGAGGTTGTGGCTTTCTAGATAAGCCATCAACTCCTTTTTGATGGTTTTCTCCATCACTTTGCAACAGATTGATGTCTGACTGACGGGTCTGTAGTTCGTTTCAAGAACACGACTACCGCTTTTGTAAAGGGGTGTAGTGTGGGCCGTCTTCCAGTGTGTGGGAAGGATTCCAGCATCGAACGATTCCTGGTACAGAAAGGATAGTGGCTTGGCCAGCTCTCGGGCAAGCTCGAAAAGCAGCTTTGCTGGGATCTCGTCCGGACCGGGAGATTTACATTCCTACAAGCTTTTTAGTTCTTCCAAAATCGTTGATTCTCGAAACACGATATCTTCGATAGTGGGATCTCCCATGTTCTCGGAACTAGTGCGAATAAAGTCTGCTTCTTCAGTGAAAACGGATTGGAAAAAATGAGAAAACTGTTCAGCTGTATTTCTACAGTCCGATATCACCAAAGCGTTATCATGAGGAATGATGACGGTTTGGAGATATTGGACAGTAGAAATAAAGCTGAGCATTTTTCTCATTTTTTCCAATTCGTTTTCATAAGGGAAGCAGACTTTATTCCCACTAGTCAAGTAGGCGATAGAGTATAATGAAACGAGATGGGCACGCGAAATACTATACTAATTGGTAATGTACCTGTAGGATGAGAAACAACAATGCGATAACCTGTCTGGATGGACAGGCGACCCTGGCGTGTTAGCTAAACAACCGGTGGGGATGCGGCGCGGTGGACAGCTGCAGAGAAGGGCCGAGGGGAGAGCCGACATAGAGCGAGAGCGAGGGGGTGAGCGACGAGAACGAGGGTACGTTGTGGGAGGGGATGTCGGCGGCAGCGGATGGAAGGGACACCGACCGTCTTCACCAGCACGCAGTTACACCATCAACATCCCAGGTCCACGCCAAAAAGCGTTAAAGTAGTCAAATGACCCCGTTCAGTTCGAGAGACATTTCAATCTTCATCCTGGATCCGCGCTCCAAAAGTGTCACATCATTCAAACAACCCTATTCAATTCGAGGGACGTTACAGGGTCGTTAACCCCTTCAACAATTCCTATTGGTTTATACCTCGAGGTCGCCGATCAGTGACGTTTTGCCGAGAGGGCACTCAGTACATCTTTGGCTGACAGGTAGTGATGGTGTCAGATGTCACTATTCCACTTGGGAGTGAATTCCATGGTCGAACAACACGCTGGCTGAAGGAAAACTTCCGATTGTCTAGGTATGTACGCTCCCGCTTAACTTTGTACGGGTGACCGAACAGGTGACTCGTGGTCGTGAATTCAAAGAAGTAGTCAGTTCTGAGCGAACATTCATGCCCGTGGATAGTGCGGAATGTCCATAACAGGTCACACCTCATTCGTCTATAGGATAGGAGGAACAAATTTAACTGGATCAGTCTTTCTGGGTATGACAGAGACCTGAGACCGTCCACCAGTTTTGTGGCCCGTCGTTGCACCTGCTCTATGGCATCACTGTCTTTCTTCATCCAGGCCATCCATGATGGCATTCCCTATTCCAGGGGCGGTCTGACGAACGTGCCGAATATCTGTGAGAAGAGTTCTGGAGGAAGGATTTTGAAGGCACGCCTAATCCAGTGCATGATGCTGGTTGCCTTTTGGACGACTCTTTTGCAGTGCTGAGTGGGCAGCAAGTTTGAGCATGTCCAGACACCTAGGTCTTTGTGCGTGTCCACTACATTTAGTGGAACCCCATTTATGGTGTACTGATGTTTTGGGAAGCGCCTCCGTCCAGATTCTAGTCGCCAGACTACACACTTGGATACGTTAAACGCTAGAAGCCACTTGCTGGACCACGCAGCCAGCTTATCAACATCTTCCTGTAGCTTCTGCGCGTCTTCAGCGCAGCTGATTGTTTTCCAGATCTTTATATCATCTGCAAACATGATGGCATCGCATTAAAGGTCTACAGGACAGTCATTTATATAGATGAGGAAGAGGAGAGGACTCAAGACTGAGCCCTGCGGAACGCCGCTTTTACTGGCACCCATTCGGATGTAGTGGCACCAACGAGGACTTTTTGGAGCCTGCATGACAGGGAACTTTTAATCCAATTAAAAATGCTGCCCTGTATTCCACGCTCCCAGATCTTCTGCAGGAGTCGTCCATGAGGAACGCTATCAAACGCCTTCTTAAAGTCAAAGAAGATGACTTCCACTGGACGGCCCTGGTCTATGGCGCTTGTCCACTTTTCCTGAGAGTAAAGACTGCTTGTAAGACAGGAGTGACCACGACGAAATCTGTGCTGAGCAGCACATAACAGGTCCCTCTGCTCCAGATACGACATTAAATGCCCTTTAATAAGTCGTTCCATTACCTTGCATAGAATGCAGGTTAAACTAATAGGACGGTAGTTTTCGGGTTCCCGGCTGGATCCTCCTTTATAGATTGGAGAAATATGGGCCGTTTTCCACTCCTACGGCAGTTCGCCTTCGTCCATGGACTTCCGAAATATCATGAACACCGGCTCACAGAGTACATCAGCTAATTCTCGGAGGACAAGTGGATGAATTCCATTTGGACCAGGTGATTTGGCAAGGTTTTAGCCGGCGTAGTTCGGTCCTTATCAACGTGGGTGAGAAGAAATGATTGTCTTCCAATGCAGGACAGGAAGTATTTTTTCGTTGGTCTACGAAAGGGATGGCAGGAGGGTTTGTGTCATGAGTGAATACCGACTGAAAGAGACTGAAGAAGGCTGATGCTTTCAGGTAGTCATCTGTCTTAATTACTCCGTTTTGGGATCTTAGCGCTGGAATCGGTTCACGATTGCTCTGTCCATTACGTATGTAACTATAGAGGATTTTAGGATGCTCCAAGAATTTTTTTTAATATGCACAGCTCATAGTTGCTTCGAAGTCTATGAGCCTCGCGTTTACACGCATTCCGCTGTCGCTGGTATTCCTTCAGGTCTTCAGGACTCTCTGTTTGTCGGTAGCGTCTCCACACTTTATTTCTCCTCTTAAACGCGTTTTGAAGTTTCCGGTTTATCCACGGCGGACGGTTGCTTGTTTTCTTTCGTCTGAGTGGACAGTTTAGATCAACGAATCTTTTGACGAGTGAGCTGAGCGTGCTCAAATAGTCATTTACTGTTCCCTGCAACGTGGTTGTCCACGGTATTGCTGAGACTTGCGTTCGCATGCTAGAAAAATCCCTCTTCCAGATATTTGCTTGGAATTGTTCAGATGAATTAGGCCGGGAGAACATGGAATACTCGAAGAGCATCACAATATGATCACTAGCACCAATTGGCGGGAGATCTTGTATATCCAGCCCACTCTCCTCATTTCGAGTGAGCACCAGGTCGAGGCAATTTGAACGTTGCCCTTCCCTAACACGTGTTCCGAGAGTTACATTCTGGAAAAGTCGTTTTTCTGCTGCCAATTCAAGCAAATGTTGTCCGAATGTGTTCGATGGACTCGAAACCATCCAAGCTTGCCTGTCAATATTGGGGGGGGTTAAAGTCCCCGACAATAAGGACGTCTCTGCTCGACCAGGTCTTGCTCAGTTCCCTTAGGAGAAGGCTATCGTGTTCGGAAATCTGGTTTGGGAGACGATACACAACTGCAAACGCCAGCGGCCTGGAGTATTTAGTGGAGATAGTTAAAGATAAGAATTCCACTTCCGCTGTTGTTCTTGGATTATGCTCAGGGACCGCGGTTAGGTTGTAGCTAACATAGACAGCGACCCCTCCTCCTCGGCTTCTCCTGTCTCTTCTGAACAGTTGATAGCCTCTGAGGGATACCTCATGGTCTCCAATAGCTTCAGAAAGCCATGTTTCTGTCAAGGCAATGATATCTGGCGTGTGCTCGTCGATCAGAGCCCTGAGTTCATCCATCTTGTTAAACAGGCTCTGCACATTCGAATACAGCACCTTTAGTGTCCGTCTTCTCGGGGAAAGTGGCCCTGATTACAAAGGGGGTTAGCCGCAGGAACGATCATTTGATCTGTATTATCTTGCCTTCCTTTATTTTCAACCCCTTCTCCCTCTCTTCTGTCCTTCTTTTCAGTTCTGTCCAGAGCTCCCTCATCTTGTGTCTTTCTGTCGGTTCGTAATCCGGCTGAAAAAACACTTCCTTATGCGAATACCGGAGGGCCATCCTCCCTTCTATGAGATGTGAGGACTGGGATTCATTTGCTAGAATAATTTTAAGAGGCCTTGGTAATGCACGCGACGCATCTGCGTTTCCTAGACGGAAAGCTTTGTGCACGGTAACACATTCTCCGTCCTGAAGGACGGCATTTGAATATGTTTGAAAGAGGTTGAGATCGTGTTCGATTCTTTCTTTTGCAGTCGAAGAATTGGACTCAGGAGCTCCCTTTATGAGGATGTTTCGTTTTCGGTAGAGATGCCTGTCTAGAAGAGAGTCCCTACGTATATTTTTACACGCACGTTCAGCATTTCGCCAATTTCCGTTGTCATCGTTTGAGTCAGAGACAGCTGTGATGGCGTAGCTATCACAGGGTTCCTCACCAACCGAGTCGTGCGATACATCCTTCGGCAGTGCGGTATTTGCTGGCATTGTGTGTGAACTCTGCTCTCTCGTACGAACAGTCTGACCTGCGTTTTCTTTTCGGGATGCCCCGGGGCGCTTCTGCGTTTCCTGAGATCCCTCTCTGTCGTTCTTTTCTTGCACAAGAGGTCGGTTCTCAGTTGTGATTTCTTCCTTAGACGGGCAGTCTTCTTCCTTGGCGACTGATCCAGTTAATGAGGCTGTTCTTGAATATGTTCTCTTTGTTTTCTGAGGGTCTGACATCGCAGACTTTCTCTTTACGGGTGAAGGGCGAGGAAGTTTCGTCAACTTCTCCATCTATATTTTTAGGTCTTTTATCTCATTCTCCATCTCCAAGAATTTCTGGAGAAGTCTGAAACATGCCGGATGTGTTTAATGTTCGTTCTTGTAGTTGACATCCATTAAGGTTACTAAACTACTGGCCCGTTTGGCAGAAGATTTGAAAATGGGGAAGCCGATGTTACATTCATTTAGACAATGTGCATTGTTTATTACATCATTATTTTAAGCTCGTCTGCTGCGCGTCTGTGGTCCATTGGTAACGACGACGCCCTCGTCACCTCCCTGACTAGGTTCGAATCCCACTTGGGGCGCACTTTTTGAGCAACATCTCGAAGGCCCTTGTTCGACTGCCATTTTCAAATATATAAACTGGAGAAGTTTTTAAGGATGTTCGAAGAGCTATTTAACCAGACGAACGATATGAAGCAAGTAGGAAACAGTATGAGGCAAGTAACAAGCGACTCAGCCGTTTTTGGAATGGGGGGTCCCGCGGGGCTGTTGGCAAAGAAGTGATCCGAGAGAGAATGGTTGTCCCAGAGAAAGTCCTGTCGAAGTTCCGTGTGGATCAAGTAATTGTTGTATACGATCCAGTTTCTTAATCCAAATAGGCCTTCAGAGCGTCCAGTCAGCAGAAATCTCGGGAAAGGCAAATCCGTCGAAGCTCGAACGCGCATACTTGAGCACAATCTGGCCGTAAAATCGAAAGGATGTGCGACCACACATCATCATGCACAATCTACAAGGAACAAGCGGTTTGACTCCAACGGTTCCCAAGTGCTTGGCCGAGCGGAAAGTAGACTGGCGAAAGAAATAATTCAGGCCTGATGATCCGACGTCAACTCGATCAACTGTAGCCTGAACCTAACGGCAAAGTATGAGGCCACCAGGCATCGCTTGTGCACGAGGGAAGGCTCAATGCGGATAGGGAATGATTGAAAAGGACTTATTTAAGGCGCGTGTTTCACATCTTACCTATCGCCGATGCTGCACTGGAGTAGAAGTGTGACTATCATATGAATAAATTATCATCCCCTGAGTTCGGATAGTCTTCGTCCACCTCAGTGCCACGGCTCAACATCTTTGCCTATGTCCACATATATATATATATAATGGTAGGGAGCGCTCACCGATTGTTCTTACGGAAATCACTCGGTCCGTTGTGCTTTATGTTCTCTCTCTCGAGCCCAACCAGCAGCCGCAGAGTGGCGCATGAGATAGGCAGAATGATATTTCTGACAAAGACAAGGGAGACTGGAATGCCCATTTCTGGCTTATTAGCCGTCGTCAGCCAGTCATACCCAACCCCGACAGGGCAGCGGACTCGTGGCCCAGTGGTTAGAGGCGTGGACTTCAAACTAACAGGTCGCGATTTCGAACTTCGGGTGTTCCACACTTCGTGGTTGAGTATGACTGGCTGACGACGGTTAATAAGCAAGAAATGGCCAAGAGTCGGCCAAGTCATAATAACAGCGAGGAGGAAAGACAGAGAATGCGGGTAGATTGATACAGTACTGTTTTGGGCTTATTGTGCCTTCATTCAGCCAATCATAACCCTGAACAAGAGCTGGGACCAGAAACACAAACATACGGTAGGCCCGGTGGAACAGAGTTCGGACGCAGCTTCTTTTGTGAGCTGCAGGGTGGTTGATTCCATAGTTGAGGATAATCTCAGAATTAGAGTCTTTCCTATGGACACTTGTTGCCAGGCTACCATCCTGCCGTTTCTGGACGTGAGAATACAGAAGTTGAACGATGGTAGCCTGGCAACAAGCGTCCATAGGAAAGACTCTAATTCTGAGATTATCCTCAACTATGGAAGCAACCACCCTGCAGCTCACAAAAGAAGCTGCGTCCGAACTCTGTTCCACCGGGCCTACCGTTATTGTAACAGCAACGATCGCCTGAACAAAGAGCTTCCTCACCTGTATCGGTTATTTCGCTATACCGGATATCCGATCAGTTTTGTAAAGGACTGTCTCAGGCACCAGACACAGCCGCAAGACCCCACCCCCAACGGAGAGATTTTGACGCGAAAATTCTACTCCTTGCTATATATGCGTGGAACTTCCGAAATAATCGCCCGGCAATTCAGCCGCCTGGATATTCACGTTGCCCACAAACCGGCATCTTCAGTACGCGCAGCACTATTTCGAGTGAAGGATCCCATCCCCAAAGAGCACCAAACGAATGTAATTTATCGCATCCCGTGTGATATTTGCTCTTGCGTGTATGTTGGCCATACTTGTCGATGCCTGGGCACTCGTATCAACGAACACAAACTAGCTATCCGTCGGCGAGACCCCCTGTCCCTCGTCTTTGCCCATGCACTCGAGGACGACCACCGATTCAATTGGGATGGCACTGAGGTCGTCGCCATGGCTAACAAAAAACGAGCGAGGGAATTTCTCGAGGCTTGGTACTCCAATGCGGGTAGTATCAACCGCCACGTTGACTTAGATGCCCATTACGAGGGTCTACGTTCACGAATGACTGCCCCCTGTCCTAATCACGCATCAACGACCGCGAATACAGCCACCCGCATTCCAACTGATTCACCACCCACCCTCCCCCTCCAGCACGGTGTGCCGTAATTGTTCCGCCTCCTCTCCCTTCCCCGCCCCTTACTCAGTGACCTACCATGACCTCGGGAGCCAACCCCCCCACCTCACGCGTCAGTGGTAAATTCTGTCCTATCGCACCAACTGGTCTACTGTGACAACCTAACTTTCTCCCTTGTTTTCATTTCGTCTGACGACGGGTTGGTGTCACCAGCTCGCAAATTCGCGAGTACAGCTCGACTTTTCCAAAGAACCTCTTCTATTTTTCATTATATCAACTCGGAATGCATACCCCCTGTGAGCTACAACATATATATATGCGCAGAATGATATTACCGACATGATATTACCTATATAATGCGCCGCTGCTGGTTGGGCTTGAGAGAGAGAGATTCCATAAGGCACAACCGAACAAGTGAGTTCCGTAAGAACGACCGGTGAGCGCCCCCTACCATCATATATATATATATATATATATATATATATACCAGAGGTGGTATGCATTCCGGGTCGATATAATGAAAAAATGGAAAAGGTTCTTCGGAAAAAATAGAGTTATACTCGTGAATTTTCGAATTGGTGACACCAACCCGTCGTCAGACGAAATGAAAACAAGGAAGAAAGTTAGTTTGTCACACTTGACCAGTTAGTTCGACAGAACAGATCGATTACTGGCCTATGAGAGGGATGGTTACAGAGTCATGGTAGGTCTCTGAACGAGGGGGTGGAAGGCGGAACGATTACGGATTCCTGTGCTGGAGGAGGGGGGGGGGTGGATGGTGGATCAGTTGGACTCCGGGTGGTTAATGTAGCATTAGGGCAGGGGGCGGGGTGTAGGGGTGTCAGCAGTGGGTTCACGTGAAGGTCGTAGTGGTCGCTCACTTGCTTGCAGGTGAGACTACGCCTAGCGTCCACTTGCTGGCACTCAACTCTCACCTGTGGCTCCACGTAGCTGGGCTCTGCTCAGCGGCCACACCCCGGGCAACCGTCTCGACCGGCGGGCTAAACCAGGTGAGGGCGGTTACTCCCTGTGCGCGTTGTGCCGCGTGCACAGGTGACTGCGGACTCCGTGGACGGTTGGTCGGATGGAACACCTCGTCGGCGCCGTCGTGACGAGGCTCTGTCTGACACACCGCTGGTCAGCCGGTTGGTGGTGGAACGTCGCATCGACATCGTCTAGACGAGGCTCCGCCTGGTACGCCGTTGATCAGCCGGTGGGATGGATCTCCGAATCGGCA